AAAATATAATTAGAGGTCCCTCTACAATTTTATTCTTTTCCTTTCAAAATATGGTAGAGAAAAAAATAATCAGAGCTTAAATAAAATGCCACTTCAGAAGCCATGAGATGAGATTAAAGCTTCTGGAGACCCTGAAGAAAAGACAGACCCAACCAGAAACAAGGTTCAGAGACAGCAAAGAAACTCAGCCTGTTCTTTTTTTTCTTACTACTTCTCTTCATGGCTCCTGTAAGGAAAAGAAAGGAAGTCATCCTTGGGAAGAGACAAGAGTAGGGTATATCAGTTTAATTTTCTGAATGCCTCTCAGCCTCAGTGGCTCTTGGCTGAAACAGTAAAGTCTATGCAAACATACTCATTCTATTCTATTCTAATCTATTATCTACTACATCTTTTCTATAGGAATTTAGCTTAAATTCTCTGAAGCCAACAACATTTAACTCCAAGTATGGGCCTTTTACCTGCTAAATTTAAATGTCCCTCAACAGACGGCTCATTCCTAAGCAAATGCAGCACAGAAGACGGCATGGTAAGCATAAGGGAAGAGTATCAGTCTGAGTCAACAGGCCTAAATTTTAATCCCGCTCCACCCTCACAATTTTATGTTTGATCCTCAGTTAAATGATATCTAAGATCCTTCTTACTCTTATTTTATAGCTTTATGAACCAAAAATAGTATCATAAGAATTCCTTACATTCATGTAGTATTTTAATGTCTAGTAAGTACCATTAGATTCTCTAGACTCCAACAAGCCAATGGGGTAAAAAGGTATGCAACACTATGCCCTACTTACAAATAAAGAAAGCCAAGGTTATTCCTCATATCCAAATAAGTGGAGAAACTAAGAGTTAAATTGAGTTCTTCTAATTCATAGCCCAGGAAATTTCATAGTCCCCCATATTTCTCATCTCATTTAATTAGATGATCAGATAATGAAAAGGCTTTTCAATAAGGTCTAATGAAAATGTTTTGTAGCACATAATCAAAATACTTTATAAAATAGGTGAGGTTGGGAACAAAGAGTAGAAGAAAGAAAATTGTATTAGAATGCAGAAGATCTATTAATAGCTTTAAGTTTCTATTAGCCACTAGCTAGCTTCTATCAATAACCTCTCAGAACTTTAGTTTTCTCAATAAGGATATTTAGGGAACTAAATATAATAATGAATATAAGCATGCTCTGCAAACTGAAAAAGTTTGTATAGTGTTATTATTATTACCATATACTCACAACTTCTCAAAAACACAATCAATAGAATTTCAAACTATAGACAAAGCTATGGTCCAAAATAGAAAGTCAGCAGGTCCTATCATATGTGTATTTAATATGGATGTAACACATGACTGAACAATTACAGCCCTGAGCAATTATTAACAAATATTAATATAACACATTAACATGTCAATACATTTACATTTAAATGATAGTAATAGCTTTAGGTCACCTGAGTGGCATAGGATACTGTCTCAATGCCTTCATGTCTCAGCAAAGTATGCTTGGCTTTAATCTGTTTCCTTAAGAACTTCTTCTCAGTTTTATTGAGTTTATAATTAGGTTGATGGTTGCTGTCCATAGCAATACTGCAAAAAAACAGTAAAAAATGTCAATCTTAACAGACCTGAGGAATAATTATAATGATACTATTCATATAATCTATAGTCTACAGTTTATAAATATTTCTATGTGACAATTTCTTTAAATGTTTCATTTACCTTTCACTAACCAAGAGAACAGATACACATAAAAAAAGGAATATCTAAGAACGTCTAATAACATCTCTGATGGTTCTAAAAAATGTTCTAATGTCATAGCTCCATTAAGTGTGCTATTTTACTCATAGATGATGAATCCCTTTACTTATGAAGTCCTAGGTAAAATGTACCATACACAAATTCACAATCATAACATAGGCAAGGCAAGGAGGAGGGAGGGAAAGTGGGAAGAAGAGGAGAAGAGAGCGAGGGGAGAAACAACAAAAAATTCATGGAAGAATGAATATACAGTATGACTCCATTTATATAAAGGTCAAAATCGAAAAGCCATATATTGTTTAGAAATACATATATAGCAAAACTAAAAGGAAAGCAAGGAAATGATAAACACAAAATTCACGAGAGAGGTTATTTCTGTGGAGGAGGGAAAGAAAATTGATATAAAAGTGACACATAGGAGCATAAAAGGTATTTCTTAAGATAGATGGCGGGTGTGTTTGTTCTATTATTTTAAAACTGTATACATCATATATTTATATCTATAATTTTTTAAATAACATAAATAAGCATCCCATAAAATGACGCTTTCACTTTATTGAAATATGTCAATCAGCAAGTAGTTACTAAGTATTTTCCCAAAGAGGCCTCTAAAATCACACTATCCAAATCAGCACATTATATCCTGCTTTATGGCAGTCTATTTTATTTTGTTCACACAGTTTAATATAATTTGTTATGATTCATCTGTTAGTTTAACTTTCCCATCATGATATAAACTCCAAGAGAGTAAGAATGCCAGCATATAGTAGTTGCTCAATAAATATTTGTTGAAGGGATAAATAAATGCCTATTATGGTCTCAGCACCTATAGTATACAACTATTAATATAGTACACAGTTTATGCTTTCAGTAAGTTTAAAAGCTAGTTGAGGACAACAAACACTAAACAATGAAAGAATATGACACATCTTTATATTAATATAACTAAGTGCTAACAGTACAGTCTTTAGGCGTGACATGAATTAGAGACAAAAAATAAGATGAATGTTAACTGGAAAAGTTGGGAAGACTTTCAAATACAAGGTGACTTGTGCTGAGTTCTAAAGGATAAGAACACTATAGAGTCATAGGGAAAGGAAGGTATTCGTGGGGTTCAACAGAAATGGAAATGTCTAGCAAAGACAGTGAGGTGCAGGCATGATGTTTTCAGAGCAGAGAGAGTATAGTATGCTGACCCTCTACTCTCCACACACTTGAAAGTCTGCAAAGTTAACAGAAGAAACAAATTTAAGGGGTTAAGCAAAATCATATTTCAAAACAGGTCATAAACAATTAAAGCTCTATTTACTAATCTTTAAGTATAGAAGAAAAGTATGGGCTGGGTGCGGTGGCTCACGCCTGTAATCCCAGCACTCTGGGAGGCTGAGGCAGGCAGATTGTTTGAGCTCAGGAGTTCGAGACCAGCCTGAGCAAGAGCGAGACCCCGTCTCTACTAAAAAAAAAATAGAAAGAAATTAATCGGACAACTAAAAATATATAGAAAAAATTAGCTGGGCGTGGTGGCACATGCCTGTAGTCCCAGCTACTCGGGAGGCTGAGGCAGGAGGATCACTTGAGTCCAGGAGTTTGAGGTTGCTGTGAGATAGGATGACACCACGGCACTCATTCTAGCCAGGGCAACAGAGTGAGACTCTGTCTCAAAAAAAAAAAAAAAAAATACCAAGCCTAATGAAATGCCAGCAGTCCAGCTTCCTAACACATGGCGTACATATGATAGGAGGTAAGGCCAGTGAGGCAGGCTGGCTGGACAGCATACTAAGGAGATAAGAGTTAAGAAGACCTGCAATAATCCAGCTTGGCAAGTAGAAATGCCTGATGTAGGCTGGAGAGTAGAAAGAAAGGGAACGGGAGAGAGGGGAAACAAGAAGGGTGAATGCAAAGTTCAGGTAGAATCAATAGGCCTTGGTAACTACTCAGACATGAGGAAGAAAGGAATCAAAGATCATTTACTAAAAGGATAAGGCTGAGTGACTGAGAAACTAGTGATGTTGAAGTGGAAAACTGGAAAATTCCACTAAAGTGGAAAATTCCACTACCGGGCTTTCTCCCTTGCAATCCTTACCTGGGCCCCCTCCTTCCCTGCGACCTTTCCCCTCATAAATCACCTATAGCAATTAGTGTACCAGGCTGTAAAGTAGCTTAGGACTCTACCTCACTAAAGTTAACCCTGTTGTAACTGTGTCCCTCCCCCTTAAGCAGAGTATATAAAAGACCGCAATGCTCTTTGTCTGGTGCTCAGAATTTGGGAGGGAAAAATTCCCCTCTGAGCCCGCTGGCGAATAAACCTGTTTTGCCAATATTTCTGTGTGCGTGTCGGTCTATTCCCGGTCATCTCTGCCGTAACAATGTCATTTCAAAACTGGAAAGGAGGAAGGTCAAGAAGAGCTGCTCAAGGAGGTAGGTAATTAGTCAGATTAAGGATATAATATTAATTTGTTCAAGGTACTGGTGAGATATACAGTTGCAATGTCACGCTCACAAGTGACAATATGAAGTGGCTCCAAGGAAAGGACTGAGGTTAGAAAGCTTTAGGAGTCATCATTAGACGAGAAGGGACAACTGAATGGATATCTCCAACATTGCATTAATTATAATTATTTGTTCTAATATCTGTTCCCTTCCACTGAACTATGAGCTCTTTCAGGACAAGGATTAAAGCATATTTTTCTTTGTTACCCAGAGCGAGTATATATGAGGCAATATAACACAGTAGTTAGGAGTCCAGGTTCCAGGTTCAAATCTCAGCTTCACCACCTATTAGTGGTATGCTCCTCGGTGAGTTAATTACACATCTCTGTGTTGCAGTTTCTTCATCTCTAAATAAGGATAGGCATAAAAATAACAGTGCCCATCTTATAGCTTTTTTAGGAGAATTAAATTGATTTACTACCATATTACTATTTTCAGAAGATCAGAATGGCTTAATAAGACAAAGAATAGCTGAGGGCCTTCGAAGGAGCTATTTTATACCCATTGCATTCCAAGATCTCCATCTTTGCAACACCAACTTTGCAGTATGTCATGGAGAACAAGGGATGAATGCGCTACAGAATTTTTTCTTAATATTTCACATAAGCAAAGACTTCAAAGTGGAGGAAATGAGAAAGAAAAAATGCAAAATACATCTTTTTAAAAGTCTGCCACTAGGAGTCCAGCACCAGCAGATGGAGCCTCATAACTACATTTTTGTCATCCCCTTTCGTTTCTCCCTCCCTCAGTCATGCAATATTATTGCATGTAAAGAAAGACAAATCCAGATGGCTTTTGAGGCTCCTTTTTCCTCCATTCCAGTAGCTTGGCAATGTGCTGGCCCAGCAGATCTGAGTCCCCTTAACAAGGACTAGGCTGATACCAGCTGCTCAGGTCTGGAGGTACCCGTTTCCAATAAGGCCACTTCCCTGGCTAGGGAGTATCCACTATTGCACAAATACCTGGATGCTCCATGCCATATTATGGGAGTGAGGTCACTGTTTACTAGGATACTAGTCATGCTGAGTCCAGTTCAGCCACCTCTAGCCTAAGCACACTCTCTGTGGGATGAGATTACACAAGCTCTGCTACTTGCTTGTTAGTAAATTTAACCCCAATACATCCTATTTGATAGTGCCCTAAGTGATAATGGTAGTATGAGTGTTCATGCCCTCCTTGAGCAACAGAGAACCTATTACAAATCCAGCAAAGTAAACAAATGTTCCTGTGCTTGTATATAAATTATACTTAATTAATAGCAAAGATTAGAAAGAACCTAAATTCCCATTAAATGAGGCCTGATTTGAAAGTACAGCACAGGTATACAAAGCTTCCATACAAATCTTTAGAACACACAAAAAATTGGTGATATGTATGGGTTGCCTCCAGGGAGGGGAAATGGATAGATGACTACAGGAATGAAAGGAAGCTTTCTTCTTTCATGACTTTTGAGTTTAATAGCTATTCAAATTGCATTATCTATTTTTAAAAAAATAATAAAGGTTTAAAATGATTAGAAAAGATTCACCCCATCACTTGTCATGTTACCTCGTTTTAACTCTTCGAAGTACACTTACTGCACATTGTTGAATAAACCTAAATTGAATTTGCCATCTTAGCTCCTAAACTTCTCCTCCTCCAGAATTCTGAGTTTGGCAGCCTTTTTCCACGTTTTCATTAACACCTATTATGTATCCCTGTCTCTGGAGTTCTCACATTGTATTAGAATTACCCGTATGTATTGGGCTCACCCGGAAGACTATCATCTACCTGACAGCACAGACCTTGTGTCCAGCATACAGTTGACAATAACTGTTAAATGAAATTATCATAATCTAAACCACAGGCTGACACTACCAGAAGCCCAAGGGTCGCAGGGATTGCTCAAATAAGAAGAGCGCAAGAAAAATCAGCTGCGCAAGCGATCAGGCCATCAGCACTGCCTTTGCTTTTTACTGGGTTGACACTGGTCAGAAAAGCCCCAAAGCGCCAGACTAACGCGCCCCAGGTTGCAGCCGCCTGTCTCCAACCTCCCAAAAAACAGAAGATTCACACAGACACCACGTGAACACCCGCACCAAACACAAACACGTGCACCTTAAACACTAAGACAACCACACAACGCACAGCCGCCCCACTGCCCACAGACGGTAACACAGCGCCGCCCGCCCAGATCATTCCTCCTTTCCCTAGGTTTTGAGCCCCGCACCGGCGAGGCGGGTAGAGAAGACCAGAAGAGGCTAACGAGAGGAAGCAGAGATTTGCAGCCTATGTGCGTGCCAGCAAGAAGTGCCACACACTTCCGCCTCGGCTCAGGCTGGGTTCTCACCACGCAGGTGCTCTCCTTTGCCAGCCTCTGCACTCTAGCCCCAGAAAGCGGCGGCGGGTACTTGCACACCACCTCACCTGGGCGCGGCCATGTTGGAGAAAACTGCACTACATTTCCCATGAATCAGCGGGGCGACAAACAGAGCTCCCACAATCCCCTTCACCTCCCAGAGCCCCGTATGGACCCTTTCTCGGCCAAGTACCTTTGTTTGTAAAGTGCCGTCTATTACGGTGGAAATTCAGTTGTCTTACTTGGGGAAATAGTGACGATTAATAGGGCAGCTTTATTTTTATAGGGCGCTCCCCAAATGGACAAAGTCAAACAAGTCTGTTTCCTTCGGTCCCTCAATAGTGACCCCGGCCACCTTGGGCTCTTCGTGCATGTTTCCTCCTGAATCTTTGGTAGGGAGAGTATCCTAGGGTCTGAAAGATGACTGCATAGGCAAGAGGGAAGGAGGTTGACTATGCACGAACGTGCCAGGGGAATGGTGGCTAATAGGAAGCTATGTGGAAAAATGTTGAAGGAAGCAAGACAGAAAGGTCGCCAGCTTATTAGAAAACCTAATGCCATTCTATTCTGCAGGCCTGAGGATGGGGGTAGGGGGCTGGGACGGTTAGAGAAATTAAGTGATGTGACCAGAGCTGCTTGTGCAAGGTGGGAGGAGAGGCTGGAAGATGGCTGTTGGTCAAATGAAAAGTAACGAAGTATTAACTGGGACCCAGCAAAGGAAAAGGAAAAGTATTTGATATCAAAAGTAAAAGACACAGGAGAGGGTGATGATTAGCAATTGTTCCTGCTTTGATGTTATTTGTGATGCAAGTATACTATAATCATTATACCTGCCTTAGGTTATGAGCTATGTGAGGGCAGAGAAGGAAACCTGGGGAGCAAGGGAATTGCCTTCCTGTAATGAATGTTGGTACAATGCCCCAATTCACACTGCACCACAGCGGGCTATCAGTAAAAGTTACGGCTGGCTAGCTGGCCAGGAAAAGTGGCGTTGAAAAGAGAGTGTTGTTGAGTGGAGGAAAGATTTGTGTGGAGAATAAGTTAGAAGGAGGAAAGAACAGAAATTGGGAGGCAGATAGGCAGTCATTTCAGAGAGTCCAGGAAGGAAAGGATGAGACCGAAATTGAAGAGCAAAAGTGAGGAGATGAGTGCAAGGTGGAGAGGTCAAATCAACCAGACATTGCGAACTATTGATGCTTGGATGTAAAAGGAAACATCTCCCCCATTGCAATCTTGCTTCTGCACTACTAGATGCTTTCAAAAATACATCCCAACAGAACTTTCTGCAATGATGGAAATGTTTTATAATCTGAACTGTCCAATATGATAGACACTAGCGACATGTGGCTTTTGAGCATTTCAGATATGGCTGGTACAACTAAGGAACTGAATTTTGAATTATAAAAATTTTATTTAGTTTTAATTAACTTAAATAACCACATGTGGCTAGTGGCTTCCAAATTGGACAACAGTGAAAAATAGCTCCTATTGGCCAAATTCAATTATTTTATCTCAGTATCTGGGCTGCTTCAAGATACTTAACCTTTTAAAGCTTTTGATTTTCTAAGCCTCTGTAAAATCACTCTCTTTTAGTTCTCTTTGTACATTCTGATCACTTGCTTTCAATGTTTTCCACTAGCTTCCCTCCCTCTGTGTATAATTAAATACAGGCAATCCCTCAGGTTTTGTGTTTGACCTTTTTCTCTTATTCTACAGGGTCTTCCTGCCTGCCTTCCCAAAAGTTTTAAACAGATTTGTGAATAATTCCCTAATCTTAACCTTCAGCCCTGACTTTCCTTTAAGAATCAGTTTGGGGCCAGACGTAGTGGCTCATGCCTGTAATCCTAGCACTCTGGGATGCCAAGGCAGGAAGATTGCTTGAAGTCAGGAGTTTGAGAGCAGCCTGAGTAAGAGCAAGACACCCCCTCCCCCACCACTCCCTCCACCGCTACTAAAAATAGAAAAAATTAAAATTAGCAGGGTGTGGTGGTGCATGCCTTAGTCTCAGCTACTTGGGAGGGTGAGCCAGGAGGATCACTTGAGCCCAAGAGTTTGAGGTTGCTGTGAGCTAGGCTGACACCATGGCACTCTAGCCATGGCGCTCTAGCAGGGGCAGCAGAGCAAGACTCTGTCTCAAAAAAAAAAAATCAGTTTGATTTAGTGAAAAGCATATGAAGGCATTGGAGTATGTCCTGAAGTAGAAACTGCAATAGAGTATTTATGTTTTAGGACTGGTGTGATAATTAAATAAAATACCATATAGAGTGGCTGTTAAATGGTTGTTCATTTCTCCTCTTCTACTCCTGAGTTACAGGCCCAAATTTCCAACCACCTGCTGTCCATCCCTGCCTCAATATCCTTAGAAGAAGGTAAATACATATAAAATTCTGTGTGTAATCCTTTGTGTACAGGCCCTTATCTTTTCTCGGAGTATTGCACAAATCGTTTCTCCTAGAGAAGATGACTCCCTGAGTGACTTTTAGCTACATTGAGACCCTGTTTATTCATTATGTAACCCCATCATATTTGATAGTCTGTAATTATAGGAATTTAATAAGTGTTGAACTGAAAAGGAATTTTAATTTGAAGATAAAATTCATCTTCACCTGTGCCAAAAACTACCTGGTAATCTATAATAATTTTTCTATAATTTTTCAAAGATATGAAATGCTGACCTAGGCTTTCCTTAGTAAAAAACTAGTGTCAGCTTCATGAGGGGTGAGTCCTCTCTGTCAACTGTTCCAAGCTTGGCAAGATTTTTCTGTGAAGGCCAGATAATAAATATTTTTGACTTTGTGGCCACACATTTTTCTTTGTTTTTTTTTTTTTTTTCTTAATAACCCTTTAAAAATGTAAAAACTTTTCTTAGCTCCCCCTGCTTTTGCTGACAGGATTTGGCCAATGGGCTATAGTTTTCCAAAGCCCGGGCCCTCTTCCTGAACTCTGTAATCAAGAGCACAGTCTCAAGGTGAAACTAAAATGGCCCCACTAATGAAGATATTTATTGTAAATTATAACATAGTATAAATGAATTTAAGCAGATTAGCCAACACTACATTTTAAAGCAGTGAAAAGTAGAGTTCCAGAAATTAGGGCTAGGAACAACATGTCATTTAGAATTGATTCTAGTTGCCAGTAACAGAAAACTGGGCTGATTACTTAAATAAAGTTATTTTTCCTCAAATGACAAGCCATCTAAACAAAGGCAATCACTAACATTGGTACTGCTGCTCAAAAATGTCATAAAGAACCCAGGCACTTTATATTCCGCTCCACCATCCTTGGTGTGTTGATTTTTTTATCCTCATTCTTGATGTCTCCTGGTAACAAGGTGGCGGCTGCAGCTCCAGGTAACTTGTCCCTATACTGTCATGTCTACCTGAAAAAATGAAGCAGTGTCTCCATCTATATCCAAGAAATGAAGCTCTCAATGAACTTTCCTTTGTTTTTGTTTTTGTTTTTTTTGGACCACAAATGGGTCGCATACTATAGTGGACAGAATCATGTACCCACATGGACATCCACAGTCTAATCCCTGGAACCTATGAATATGCAGATGTAATTAGGTTTGCAGACTTTAACGCATTGACTGCCACACTAGAAAAACATTTTTTTTTCCTTGGAGCCATGGTGTTTTATTACAAAATAGAATAAAAACTTTGAAAACAAAATGATCCCTTCTAATTTGATGAAAAATTTATTTTTTATTGTTTTCTGAATGTGAGTTATATGCAACTTGAAAAATAGTTCTCACAGCTCCCAAGGTAAAGAGACATGTGAGTTACATATGCTTCACAAGGCTCTGGGCTCAAAACCAGTGTGAGTTAAATACAACTTACAGGGCAGTTAATGTGTTAAAATAGATTATACTAGATTATTCAATGGCCCAGTCTAACCACACAATTCCTTAAAAGCAGATCATTTACTCTAGCTGGAGTGAGAGATGAAGCTGAAGAAGTCAGAATGATTCCAAGTGTGAAGGATTTAACACCTTGTTTGCTGGCTCTGAAATGTCAGGATCCATGTGCAAGGACCTGAAGCAAGGCCTCTAATGAGCTATGAGCCAGCTCAGCTGATAGCCAACAAGAAATGGGGGCTTCATCCTACAACCACGAGGAATTGGATTCAGTCAACAACCTTAATTGGAAGCAGATCCTTCCCAGAGTATCTTGATAAGAGCCTAGCCAGCTAGCATCTTGATTTTGTCTTTATGAAACTCAAAGCAGAGAAACCAACCAAACCAACCCAAACTTCTGACCTACAGAACTGTGAAATAATAAACTTGCTTTGAACTGCTAAATTTGTGATCATTTGTTACATCAGCAATAAAAAACTAATACTCAAGCTCACCGCAGACCCGTCACTGGCTAAGGGAAGTAGAATTACCAGGACTGTTTGTTTTAAAGCCAATCACGATTCACTCTATAGAGCTAGGATGAACCCTATGCTCCCTAAAATTGAGAGACTTTGCTAGCCTATACTCTGTGGGGCAGGTGAGGGGGGGATTAAGTTACTATTAGCAAGAAAAAAGGGAGACATTTGTTTGGTAGACAATTAAGCGTGTTCCATAAGGGAGTTGAGCACTTATTTCTAGCCAGATTATCATAATAATGATCTATCTCAAAACCTGAGAGAAAAGGGTACTGAAAGGATGAGCACTCTCATTAATTAATAAAGCATCCAAAGGTAGAATTCCAACAGCTATTATGTTATCCTTCAAGACTCTTCAATCAGAAAACACTGAAAATGGCCCCAACAGTCCTTGAAAACAGTTACATTTTTACTGTGGTTCCAAACTGTGATACTGTTTCACTGGCGTTTCAAATTCAATTCCTGTAGTTACGAGATTTCTAACCTTCCTTCCCCTTCTCCCTACCTGCTACCACCATTTGATCCTGGATACCTTCTGGTTTTTCTTCCTCTTGTCTCCAATGGCAACTGTACTAGTTTTGCTCCTCCTGCGCCCCCCTATCCTATTTACGATTTTTAAAAAAACCAAAACCTTTTATTTCTTAGTCTTTCCTCTCCACTTAC